TATACTAATATTTTTCAAAGGATTCTAGGGGTCAACCCAGTGGTGCTTTCAGAAGTCTTGTCTCCAACCTTGCTGCCTAAACAGGCATCAAGTGGCTGCAGCCATTTTGGCTCAAGGTGGCTTGTCCTTTGACCGCCCATCAGGCTTAGAGTGCTGCTTTCGGGAAGCAGGCAATGCCACAGTCGATGAGCATGCTTCTGGCCCTTGGGGTTGTCCTGGCCACAATGACCGCATCAGCGCAGGATGTTGAATCACCTCGCCAGCTCCGCGGCAGTCAGTCCATGCCTGACGTCGATGACTTCAATGAGACCGAAGACAATGAGACCTCGGAGGAGGCGAAAGAGGAGACGCCCGCTCCGTCGCCAAGCCAAGTGCAGATCTGGGTTCCCGACCCCTCGGAAGTTAGCATTTACGATGGACAGGAGGAAGAGGAGGATCCTGCCCTGGAAGAAGCCAGGAAGGAGGAGGAGGCCAAGAAGCAGCTGGAGCGCGAGGAAGCAGAGGGTGGAACCTGTTGCTTCAGCGGTGAAAGCAGCCAAGACACATGCGGCACTTGTTTTCCAATGTCCATCGCCTCTTACAAGAGCAAATGCTCACGGAAGAGATATTGCCTGGGTGAATGCAAGGGAACCTGGTGCGAGACAAAGTGCATTTTGGGCGCAGCAAGCGACGAGAATAAGTGTGGCACCGCGTATCCTGATGGAATTGCAACAAGTGGGAGTTCCTGTGCATCGTCCAGCCGTGGATGTGCTTCTTGCAATGGCGAGTGGTGCCGGGCGGGGTACGCCTCCAACTTCCACCTCGAAGAGGACGATCACGGGCGTGAGACGCCCGTGTACGTGGCGCCAGAAGAGACTGACGGCATTTGCTGCTATCGTGGAAAGACAGGCGCAGACAACATGTGCGGGGCCTGCACGGATGTGGCGAAGGATTCCACATGCTCTGTGAAGAGTCACTGTGGTGGCTGCGGTGGCACCTGGTGTCCCCGACACGGGCCAAAGTGCGTCAAGGCCTTCAAGGACGCCAAGAATCCATGTCATACGGCCTTCCCCAACTCAGGGATTGCCTCTGCCGATGAGTACTGCGCCTTGAACAAGAAGCAGTGTGACAGCTGCAACGGTGCTTGGTGTGCTGTTGGGAACATCACCTACTCGGATGGCACAAAGTACGACCCGAACCAGGCCTGGGCTCCCGAAAATGATCAGCGGCTGGAGGAGCAGGATGAGGCAGAAATCGAGCAGGCTCATGAGGAAGTGAGCCACGATGATACCATCGAAGACCTTTTCCCGGAAGGCTTAGCGGATCATGGCATGCCGGGCAGCATACCGGAAGATGAAGAGGAAGACAAGCCCATGGATCTGTACCCGTAGGTTGAGTATTCCCGGTCCAGGTCCAGATATTTTTTGGGCAGCGGTCAAAGCAGATTCTGCTTCAATTTTGGCTACGTTCCAGGAGGGTTGCACATTTGCTTTTGGGCCTAAGCAGGCTTTAAGCAGTGGAGCAGTTTAACCTTCTGTCGCAATGCCTTGTCTGGCATTGGTCCACAAACGTGGGGTCAAAAGATGCAGTTTTGGTGGGCTTAGGCCGCCGTCGCTTAATTACGTATTCGAGGATAGCAGAGAGTGCCGATTTTGGATCACCTTGAT